CCACATGCAATGGCCAGCCGCAGCAGAGGATTGTGGATCAGTCGTTATAGAGAGCTAATGTAATTTCCTGAGTGCAAGAGACGAAAACCAGAAATACAATATAAAAATGTTAACTGAAATGAAACTGTGGCAAGAGACCAAGAGCTGAAGCTGTGGCTAAAGCCGGAGCTGGCCATAAAAAAAATTAGCATAGGCAACTTTTGATACGATCGCGTTTGGTTTCGTTTCTGTTATTTTTGGAGGCGACAACTTCACAATGTTGTTTATGCAATACCTTTTTTTTAAGTTGAACTGCAAACGTGTTTTCGCCTGCTGCTACAACAGCAACAGCAGCAGCAGCGGCGGCAGCAAAAGCCATTAGCCAATACATAAACCAGTTTTACGACAGCCGCAGTAGCTACACCTTACGATGTAAACAACAGGCTCCATTAGTGGACGTCACTTACTTACACTCGCGGCTATCACCATTTCGCTTGCCCTTTCGTTTGCGCGCTGCGAGATAAATCTAAACAAGTAGCGGACCGAAACAAAAACGAGAGTTGTTTGACTTTTAGAAGGCGTTGAGACTAAACCGGTTCGCAGTCGTTTTTGCTGCTAGCCGGAGACTCGCAACAAGTGCGAACGGGCCATAAATGCTAAGAGCTGTCGATTAGCTGTAATTATGCGCATAATTAGAGAATAACAAGATAACAGCTGCCAAATAAATAAAACAAAAGCTACAAAAAATACATAAATTTACCAAGAAAGCTTTAAGCACAGTTTAACGCAAAATTAACATAATTGAATCAATTAAACTAGAAATTTAGAGAATTTATATCAATTTATTTTACCTGCAAGTAAACCTTATTATATATTTTTTTTATTTAAAAAATACTTTAAATAAAATTAAAAAAAAGTTGAGTAATCAATTATTTAATGATTTAAATAAAATTATAAAAAAAGTTATAGTAAAAACTATTTGGTAAAATTTAAAAATAATTTAAATAAAAACAGCAATTAAAGTCCATATATTGAAAAAAAAAAAATAAAATAAAAAAAAAAAAAAAAAACAAAAATAAATAAAAATAAAAATTCATAAAACATATTAGAAATTAAAAAAAAATGTGTTAATTATTAATTATTATACATTATTGTAATACTAAAATATACTTTAATAATTATAATAATAATAATAATTATAATATAATAATAATTATAAAATAATATTTAAAAAAAAAAAAAAAAAAAAAAATTTTTTTACATCCAATTAAATATTTTACTTATATATTTTTTTATGAATCCACTTTCAGCACAAGACGATAATATAGATGTTGAAAGGGAATGTACCGATCGTCCCGCTGATGAGTACTTCCGTCTGTCCACGGATGGCGATTGCCGTGAAGTGTACAGGTAAGCACTTTAGCCAGGTTTCCCAGAACGAAACATGTTGTTAAACAGTAATTCACATTGAATGATAGTACTTTGTTTGGGCATATTGTTTTGTTTTAAAATCAACATCGATTTTTTTTTATGAATATATATAAATATATATAATAAATATATATACGTAAAACTAAATAAAGGTGCGATAATGGCCGCGAAGATGGCAGCAAACGATTGGCACCGATCCGCTGTGCCTCCAGCTTGTCGTTCGATGTGGAGCGTCAACTCTGCGATTGGAGGTCGAATGTTAAGAATTGCGATGTCAAAGAAAGTAAGTGGGGTGTGTCCGCGCCAGCCGTTGAGCCCAGTGCCCAAAAGTATACTTCAAAGAGCTCGCCTCTGTGCCACCCAAAAAACTCTCTCCTACACACTCTCTAACACTCTGTTCTGTCTCTATGTACCTCTGTCTCTCTATCTATCTATGTGTGTTGCGCAGCTCATTTTGTGTGTGTCTCTGTAACTAAATGAACGCCAAAGCCCAAACAATCGTTGTCATTGCATGAGCTCAAGCCCCAATCCAAGCCCCACTCAAAAATAAATTAAAAAAAAAAAAAAAAAAAGAAACATTGCCAAAGTTCTGTTAGCCAGCTTTATGCAAATCAGTCAAGAAACGCGTGCATCGCGAATCTAGAAAAGAGCCATGTCAAAACCAAAACCCAACTTTATTTTTTAGATGTACTAAGTCGGGCCTAAAAGAAATTCAGTGCCCCTCCGGCTTGGCCTTTGATTTGTATAAGCAGACCTGCGACTGGAAGGCCAAGGTGACTAACTGCGATGAGAAAGAGAGTAAGTCTACTGACACACAGCCAAACAACACAATTGGACAGCAACATACTTATAATAAGTATATATACATATGTATGTATGTACAATGTTGTATGTACATATATGTGTATGTATATATATGTAGATATAGTGAACTTTGGAACAACAATAATAACCACACACCTAACCTCCCTAACACAGTCACGTACATACTTCTCACTTCAAAATTTAGACAATTGTTGTCACTAACACACACACACACACACACCCTCAATAGATATTGATGCCATATGCCTTATGCACTATTTTTAATACTTCTACTTAACCGATTCGTTTAGAGCCCCGCAAGGCGAAGCCTATTCTGAAGACAGATGAGCCCATCTGTCCCGATGGCAAGCTGTCATGCGGCGATGGCGAGTGCCTCGACAAGGAGCTCTTCTGCAACGGCAAGCCCGACTGCAAGGACGAGTCCGATGAGAATGCATGCTGTAAGTGCCCAAGAGTCCATGCTCATGCATTGTTAATTCATAACCTTCTCTTCTCACAGCTGTCGATGAGGATCCCAATCGTGCGCCCGAGTGCGATCCCACACAGTGCGCTCTGCCCGATTGCTTCTGCTCGGCTGATGGCACACGTATTCCCGGCGGCATTGAGCCCCAGCAGGTGCCACAGATGATCACAATTACGTTCAACGGCGCCGTCAATGTGGACAACATTGACCTGTACGAGGACATATTCAATGGCCAGCGCCAGAATCCCAACGGCTGCTCCATCAAGGGCACCTTCTTCATCTCGCACAAGTACACCAACTACTCGGCAGTCCAGGACTTGCATCGTCGCGGTCACGAGATCTCAGTCTTCTCGCTAACGCACAAGGATGACCCCAACTACTGGTCAAGCGGCACCTACGACGACTGGCTGGCCGAGATGGCGGGCGCTCGTTTGATTGTGGAACGCTTTGCCAACATTACCGATGGCTCCATCATTGGCATGCGTGCTCCCTACCTGCGTGTGGGCGGCAACAAGCAGTTCGAGATGATGGCCGATCAGTTCTTTGTGTACGATGCCTCGATTACCGCCTCGCTGGGCCGTGTGCCCATCTGGCCATATACCCTGTATTTCCGCATGCCACACAAGTGCAACGGCAACGCCCACAACTGCCCATCGCGTAGCCATCCCGTGTGGGAGATGGTCATGAATGAGCTGGATCGTCGCGATGATCCCACATTCGACGAATCGCTGCCCGGTTGCCACATGGTTGACTCCTGCTCAAACATCGCCTCGGGCGAACAATTTGCGCGTCTGCTGCGCCACAATTTCAATCGCCACTACAACAGCAACCGTGCCCCACTCGGCCTGCACTTCCACGCCTCGTGGCTGAAGTCCAAGAAGGAGTATCGCGATGAGCTGATCAAGTTCATCGAGGAGATGTTGGGACGCAACGATGTGTTCTTTGTGACCAATCTGCAGGTGATCCAATGGATGCAGAATCCCACAGAGCTCAACTCGCTGCGCGACTTCCAGGAATGGAAGGAGAAATGCGATGTCAAGGGCCAGCCCTACTGCTCCCTGCCCAACGCCTGCCCGCTGACCACCCGCGAGCTGCCCGGCGAGACTCTGCGCCTCTTCACGTGCATGGAGTGCCCCAACAACTATCCCTGGATCCTCGATCCCACTGGCGATGGCTTCTCTGTTTAATTTCAAGCCAAAGCTTCTCTCCACTTTCTAATTTCCTTTCAAAAAAAAAAAAAAACAAACAAAAAACCAACAAGTGAACAACGCATTAGTAGTTCAACCGAGAGTCTGATAAACTAAACACAAAAACCTACAACACAAGCAATAAATTTATCTATCTATCTTCTGTCTCCCTCTGGCCACCATTTTGGCCAGAATCTCCACTCTCTATCTGCCTTTATCTAACTGAATCTGAATCTGTTATTTATGCAAATCATCTTTCACTTTATTGCTTCTATATTCTTGTGTATTTCTTTTTGACTTTCCGACTTTTCGACTTTTCCCCCAACTTTCTACTTTCATTGCTCAACTTTTTGTTTCATTTCTCTATTAATTATGTTGAATGATAAAGTGAAATGTTTTTTAATCAACTACAAAACCTAAAACGTGAACAACATCAGCAAACGCTGCTACTTTGTTAAATTAAAATGAAAAACAAAAACCATTTTCACAAAAAACCGCGCCAAAAACTCGCAGCAGCTAAATTCTTTGTAATTATATAAGTATTTTTTATAAGAAAAATATAAAAAATATTAAAAAAAAAAAAAAAAAACCAAACAAAACAAAAAATAAATATTGATTGTAGTTTTCATTTAATTTTAGAAATAAGTTTAAAAAAGAAAAAGTGAATTGAAATTGTTTGAAAGCAAAGAACCTTTTACTGGATTCAGTTGAGTTTTCTCTCTCTCTCTCTTTCTTTTTATAGTTGTTCCTTTATTCTATATTCTATTCATATCAATTTCATATTCTTTGCTTGTCCTGATACTATTGAAAATTGAACTAAAGAACTTATATGCCTTTGTTAAAATGCATTTAACAGGCAGAAGTATGCCTCATAAGGATTAAAATTCTTGATCTTAATCTTAGATTTTTTTGAGAGTTAGAGTGGTAAAAATTCGTTTAGTTTTATTTATTATTGATGTCATTTTAATTTTTTTATACCAAAGAAAACGTAAATCGCATTGGCTTCAAAGAACCTTCTAGTCGGACACTCCCCACTAGTCTTCTCTCATTTATATATAGATAATACTGCATTATATATATTGATTAATCAACATAGCTTTGCCATTTTTATTTCAAATAAAATTCACATGGCTTAAATATACAGAAGCATGTTTTTCAAACACACGTGTCAGAAATAGAAGTCTTTTACATTTAGGAAATTCCCATTTATACACTGAACATAAAATATATATAGGAACACGTTTTACATTCATTTAGGCTTAATTAGCACAGAACACAGCTCCAAAGATGAACAGGCGAAATTTATATGGTTACTTATTGATAAGCTTATTGGTAAGTCTGGTAGTGTTTATAGATTTCTATTATATATATGTATGCTTGCTTATGTGTTGTCAAGATATTCAATATACCTGAACTGGTTTCTCAACTGATGTCAGCTGCCACAAATGGCTCTACGATAAATATGGGCGTCCATCACCTCTTTGAAAATAAAGCACATTTCTTCTTTACGAGTCCCCAATCAAATGGCACTATAGCAAAAGCAAAGGTTACCCAACCAGCCTCTACGACAGGGCAAACCGAGGACTCCATTCAAATGTCAAAGCTAACCAAGGATAATCGTGGCCATTGGGTATATAATCCCTGGCCCGTTACATTCGGTAATCGAATTCTGGACACCAGATTCACCAAGAGTCTGCCCTATGTCCACATCAATGTCGCCTCAAATCCCAAACGCTTGTATGATCCCAGAGGCAAACTAAGCACCGTTTGCATGGGCTCCACCATTCCGCATGGAAATTTCAAGGTGGTGCGATGGGGAGATCGACACATCTACAAGCACAAGCAGACGAGTCAAGCTTTCTACTTGAAACTGCGGCGAGACATTTACATCAAGGGCAAGTCAGAGATGTGCCACAACAAGAAGTATAACAAGTGGATGGATTATCAGGAATGCGCACTGAAGCGCAATCAGCGCCTAGAATCGTTTATACCGAAATATCCCTACCATCAAATGATCAAGGAAAAGAGTTAAGAGAGGGAATAGAGAATAGATGGAAAATCGTATTTATTAGAATGTTACGTGTTTTTTTTAAACTATATTAAAATGCTTACTTCAAAGTCAAGTTCAACTATTATTTAACCAAATAATTAGCTTATTTAGGAACTGACTGATAGGCCTTTTTGACCTTTTTATGCATCAATCACTAACATATTTCTTTCATATATTTTCCTACCGAGTCGATTAAATTAAAAAGACGATAGCTTTGGTAATTATTTTTTCATGCACTTTATTCTTGATATCATGTGGGTATTAAGCCGTGTAAGAGCCTACAAAGCTAGTTGTTGTTTTGGTCTTTGATAATAATAATGCTAATAAACTATGCATATTGAACCAAGTGTGGAGCAAAACGAATCGTTCTGCAATTAGAGCCACAGACGCACTTGTTGATCCCAGCTGGTCGAGGCTAGGCACATGCCATTGGGGCACAGGCTGATGCAAGTTATTCGATTCTCATGCCCAGACAGTGTACCTGAAGATAGAGGGAGAGTGCGAGAGAGTGAGAGAGGTGAAAATGAACAAAAATCAATACAAGTCGTAGGCGAATTGAAGCCATCGACGTTCTGCCACCTACCCGTGTGCCGTTGCTTCATGGCATCCCACGAGTGAACGTTGCCCTCAATGCCGGCGCACAATATGTAGCGACCGCTGGTCGATAAAGCTAATGGGCACAAAATCAGATTAAAAATTTTCTAAAGTCAAGGCGAAACCAGAGAAGAGTGAGCAAAGCAGAATGCAAATACGCACCGCACGACGTGAAGCCCGTGTTCTTCTGGGGCGGCTCATAGAGTCCGATTTGTTGGTCGGCACGCAAATCGTACATGCGCGCTGTCTGATCCTCCGAGCAGGAGGCGAAGCCAAAGCCACTTGGATGGTACTAAAATTGATGACCAGGTATCGAGCAGAAATACAAAATAAGAGCCAACTGATTCAAACTTACGCAAACGGACGACACATCCATCTCGTGTCCAAAGAACATTTGCTTGTGTCCCTGTTCGCGTACATCCCACAGCTTGGCAGTTTTGTCCACTGAGCCGGTTATGTACGTATTCATATCGGGCGACAATGAGAGGCCAGCAATGTCGCCAGCATGGCCATTAAAGTCCATTGTCTTGACACCCTTCTCCAAGTCCCAGTGACAGCTGTTATCATATATATAATTACGTTCATTATAAATTATATAATTTATATCAACTCAACTTACATTTTCATATCACCCGATCCCGTGATCAAGTGTCCATCATCCAGAAAACGACATGAGCTCAGGAAGCCCTCGTAGCCAATTAGCTCTCTAACCATCTTGGCCACTCCGGATGCATCTCGATTGTTTACATCGTAGACGGTGCATTGATTGTCCATGCCACCGCAGGCCACAAAGTTGCCCGATGGCGAAAATGCCACAGTCATCACCCAGGCGGAGCGCAAAGGTATAATCTGTACCTTGTTGGCTGTCCAAGTGTCCCAAATGATCAACTTGCCATCCAAGGAGCCAGTGACGCAATGACGAGAATCGCCCGCAAAATGCACCGAGTTGACCTTGTTGATGTGACCTTTTAAAATCTTTTTCGACGAAAAACGTATTTTGGGCACATCGCTCATATCACCGCATTTGTCAGCCAATGTGCAATCCGCCTTCGACTTTTGGTCATCCTGTCGACATTCAAAATATCAATTAATTAATTTACATACTTTTATTCATTTTAGAAAGATTCACCTTAAACTTTTGTATCATGCCATTGATCTCGTCGTAAAGTTTTTGGGTTTCTGGATCAATTTTCGGCATGATTGCGCATTAAATAACTGCGACAGAAAAAATATTTCAAATATCCGTTACAACACAGTCGACCAACCAAGCACGCGCCACGATGTAAACTAAAATCGAAATAAATATTTAACTTACACTGTTATGATGATTTCATAGCATTGCTTGAGACGGTAATGCAATTAACTAATTGGATTAGTTCGTTAGGCGAAAACAAATACAAATTTTGAGGAAATATCCAAAAGTTGCGCGCGTATTGCAAGCACACACTCGCGCATGCCCATTGAGCAGTGCTGCCAATTGCTAAGAACTTTGCATCGTGCAGCGCTGTAACAAAATTGTTAACAGCAGTGCTCCTCACTCCTCAGTCCTAATGTTAGTCTGCAGTCGAAATCAGTTTAAGTTGATTTTAAAATATAATATTGCTTGTTTTCAATCAAATAATTAAAAAAAATAAAATAATTAACAGTTGCATAGCATCATTGTGCTTAACATTTTTCGAATTTCGTTATTAATATTTTTCGCATTCGATTAATATCGATAGAAAATCGACATCAACACACAGATGTTAAGCGTGCCATTTAACAGCTGTTTAGTCACAAAAAGATCTTGGGACCACAAGAAATTGCTTATATTTTTAATAGCTAACGCAACACCCGTCAACCGCCAAAAATGGAGCAGAGGCATAGGTACTAAGATTTACGCGCATTATGGAAACACTGCAATGTGCCAGTGAAGTGGCGCATATGGCGGAACAGCAACAAACTGAGTCGCTGGTAAACGTAAAACGCATTTCGGTGCCCTTTGGAAGTCAAAGTTTGATGGGCACGGACATGGCCAAAGCCGAGGATGTGAGCCAATTGCTAAAACAGAAACCACAGCACACGGAAACGCTTGGTAGTGTCTCCACCCAGGCACAGCTTGCAAGTCTCAGCAGCATCGACAGTCTCTGCGAGAGTGTGGTTGATATACCCAAGGAACTGATTCTCATCTCTATGGTATCCCAAGAGCAGGCGCTGTACAATCCCAAAAATCCGCTCTACCGCAGCACAAAAAGCAAGGATGAGAAATGGAGTGAAATTGCGAATCACGTGGGCTGGACAGGTAAAGTGTCAATTCAATTTTAACCAAATAGAATTCAAGCTAAATGAATCCATGAATAGATGCACAATGCAAAGCCAAATGGAAGGCAATGAGAGATCAATATTGCCGTGAGCTAAAACGCGCCAAAGCTAATACCAAAGGCACCGTCAAGTGGAAATACTTTAAGGAACTCGACTTTCTGCGTCCCTATGCGCTGGCACGCAAGTAAAATGAGTGAATTTCTGTTTTATTTATACATGTTATCTATAGCTATCTATATATACATTCTAGCTATCGCTCTCGTGGCTCCCAGAATGCCAATGGCATTTTGACGGCTATGACGCTGCCGAATATTGCCACAACAACAACAATCACGAGCAGCAACAGCAACAACAATAATGCCAACAACAATTCGTTTAGCAATAGCAGCAGCAGCAGTCAAAATCTGACTATGTCTGCTGAGCCGACCAAATTTGCCAACATCAAAATCGAGGATAGAAGTGGCTCGCTCTTGGAGACTTGTAGTTTTGTGCCAGCAACAACAACAACGGCAACAACAGGAGCTTCGAACTCAGTAACGCTTGAGAAGAAAACGGATACAACGCGTGGTCTAAGCGCATTTATAGCCAGCCATATTATACAGCACCAACAGCAGCAGCAACAGCAGCCGCAGTCACAGCAGCAGGATACCAATTGGAACTATTTGACCGATGCAAGTGGCAACGACGTTGGCTCAGCCACATCTATTACGGTTACCTGCGAGACACCGAATCAGTCGGCTAGCGATACGCTGTACAATGATTTTGTGGACTGTGTGAATGTTGGCAGCGTTGTGAATCAATCCTCCACGCACAATGCCGACGAGGAAGACGATGATCCCATACACACATTTCTTAATATCGAGAGCTACTTTGAGAAGGAGCTAATCATGCTTATACAGCAGGAGGATATGATTTACAACTATAGCAATCAAAACTATCGCAATGTCAAGCTGAAGTTGGAAGTCTGGGATGAGATAGCACGCAAGCTTAAAAAGCCAGGTTAGGCAAAACAACTTTGTATAATTTGTATTATATAATAGTTCATATCTAATTTTAGTCAAGCAGTGTAGGGGAAAATGGAAGGCTTTGCGGGACCAATATGCGCGGGAGTACAAGCGTCTGAAAACACAGCTGAATGGTTACGTGACATCTCGATGGAAGCACTATGATTCTCTAAGTTTTCTGCAGAAATATATACAGCAAAAGTCGCTGTAAGTAGTTCGATATATTCAGAGACAGTAGCCTCTATGGATAATGTTTTGTTGATTTATTTTTTCAGCGACGGAGACACATTGAATATGCTGATGCCCAAACATGATTCTGTTGGTGAACTTGAGGAGCATATGGACGAATCGTCATTGCGGAATTCCGAGCCACAGACGAATAACTTGGACACATCGCCCGGCAGTTCATCTCAATTAAATATATCTACACTGCCAACGCTAACGGGTCCACACAAAGCCGAGCTGGCCGTCACAATGGAGCAGCAGCAGCAGCAACAACAGGAAGTGCAGCAGCCCAGTGAGCTGTGCGTGGCCAGCTATGATGAAATGGATATAGAAAACTATATAAATGGCGATGTGGTGCATGATGAGGACGATGAAAACGACAACGATGACATGGACACGACGCCAACATCAGAACAGCAATCACAGCAACAGCATCAGCAGCAACAACAACAACAACAACAACAACAACAGCAGCAGCAGCAGCATCATGTAGTTAACTATGAAAATGATGAGGATTCGGTTTATATGACCGTAGAAAGCGTTACGAACGCGCTCACCAAATCGGAGCAACTTAATGAAACGGGAAGCAGCTTGGAACCGCAGCAGCTGCAACAACAATTACAAACGGCTAGCGACTATACGCAAAAGCTGGAGGTGACTACGCCCACGTCGACCAGCACACGATATCAGAACACAGCCAATACACCATCAACATCTAGTCAGGCTGTCTTTCCGCTCGGCGGCTGTTCTATGGCTGCGGAGGAGGATGAAATTGGGGCCTTCTTCAAGGCCGTTGCCATGAAAATACGCAATGCACAACTGGAGCCGGTGGCATTCACGGATCTGCAAATCGATATACTGCGGGTCATCAATGAAGCGCTGCGAAATCACTAGGACATCATACCTAGTGAAGGATGCGAAGAGAGAAAGATCTCGTTCTCGATGGACCTCCCGAAATGGTTTCAATACGTTGCGCGTTATTAGTTTTTAAGTGTTATTTGAAGAACGTTTTTTCTGAATTATTAACTTGATTTGATTTATCCTAATCATTTTTATAATTGTCACATACTTATACACACCCACACAAACTTATACCAAGAACGAAAAGGTTTTTTTGTACATAGAAAACTGTAATGTTGTTAGTGTGCTTCCAGTAAAAAGAACTGGAACTAAAATACAAAATTGTTAAAGTCCCGAAATATCGAAAAAAAAAAAAAAATACATAATATATAATGTGTACAATTACGAAATGGAACAACAATATAGTGAATGAAGAATATATGTATATATTTTTCAAAAAAAAAAAAAAAAAAAGTTTATATAATTTATAGTTTGCAATCTTTAAATGGAAATCTACTTGTGGAGCAGTTGAATTTTTTATTTTATGTGGAATCTATAAGAGATTATATCCATATATAATTATGTATATATTTTATTCTAGATATCCATACTCGCCTATAGAGAAATACTCTCTCAACAGCTAGAACAGTAGTGAATGCCTAACTACCTCTCTGGGGCTCCATTTGCCAGGGTATACAAAATCAATGCAGCTGACACTCAGCAGTTGATGTAGCCTCTTTGAGCATGCTTTGAACGTGGGCGCTGCCTCGCTTTGGTCGCTGTTTGCAGCATCTGTGCACAAACATTTGGACAACTGCTGAGCAACGCAGCGAACTGGAGTTGCCGCCCAAGTGGAGCACTTGCGCAGACCACCCAGAACCCCCCGACAGTTGGCTGTGTCTATGTGGTATATAAGAGACAACAGTTGCTGCTCTTATTTGGCCAGCCGCACAGCTGGCACTGAAACATGGCTGCTCCTTGGCATTGGCCAGCGGCTTGCGAAACGGGCACAAACCGGTTTAGCTGCTGCGCCCAATCAGCTGGCAGTGCGAGCGAGACGACTCTACACTACTCACGCAGTACATAGAGCGTACTGGAGGCGGGGCTAGCGCCATATGGCGGCGCATTGGGTGTGGTTACTCAGCCAGCAGGAGGCGCAGCTGCTGCTGCTGTTGCTGTTGCTGCTGCTGAAATGCCAAAATGTATGTAAAAGTGAAAATTTTTAATAAACATTTTCATTTTCAGGCGGAAGTTCGAAGCCATTGAAAGCTAATCAAACGGAGAGAAACGGAGCTCGATAAACGGAACTCTCCCGCATTGGGGGGCGGCGGCAAATGTTCGCCAATTGGGGGCCACGCTTGATTGATTCGCTTTAGTTATTTGTTTTTGCAATTCATTTGCATTTCAGTTCTCAACGGTTGAGTGCGCGAGTTTTAATTAAATCAAATATGGGCGTGGGCAGGCCTACAGGTAACTCAAAATTATGGGCTAATCAGAAAGGGGGGAGAAATTGGGATTTTGAATTGCAAATGACATTCATATGTTCGGCAACAATGTTATCAACTTCAATTATATTGAAGATGAAGAGTTTTTATTGGAGTCCAGACTTTACTTATGACATATAAAGTTGTAGTGGGTATGGGAAAGTTTGATACGATAGAATTTTAATATTGTATATGTATTTAAGGTGCTTGAATGAAATGATGAAGGGCCAGCTGGGAGGCAAAGCTGATATATTTTGCCAGTAATTTATTCTATATGGTCTGCTGAATCTGAAATAAATCTAAATTATTGAACTTTTTTTTTTTAATTTATAATTTTACATTGCTAAGTAAATATTAAATATTATATTCTATTAACTATGTGCTTATATTTTTAATATTTTAAAAACAGGAATATTATTGTTTTGGGGATCCTTAGAATACATTAGCGATTCTCGTCTATTCGTTCGATTCAAATGATGAAAATTTATAATGTTAAAATAATAATAATAAATGTTAAAATGAGTAAGAAATAATAAAATGAATCAATTCAAATGTCTTTAGGCTGCTGGTATATGCATTTTGTTTAAAAGCAAGAAGGCGTGGTTCGATAGGCCTAACAATTTTTCTCAGACTTGCTTTGAACATAGAGTAGATCAAGTTTTCAGCCTGTATCGAAATTTTTCTCCTTTCTATCAAAATGTTGAGTATTTGGAGTACTGTGAAATTAATATATGTAACATATAAATTGCTCATTTAATACATATATTTTAATACTTTTAAAAATTTCATAAGCTTTGTTGTCAATTATTTATCTGGCACACATAACTTAAACTTAGCTGACCTCATATTCTTTTTAAACCTATTAACTTACATATTTCTTTATATAATCTAAATATAACGAAAATTGAATTTTTTGTAGATATCGTCTTATCCGTTCGTCTTCTACTTGCTGCCCTCTACTAAACGCCCTATGCAGCTCAATCAGTTGAACAGCTCAAATGAAAACTCACAATTTTCTGCTGCTCTGCCGTGTGGCAAGCAATTTCCAAGACGCAACGACGGAAACTATTTTCGCGGCTCATTTAACGGGCTTTGCCCGGCAGGCAAATAACTAAAAAAAAGAATCATAAAAAATATGAAATATATATAAATATTTTTCATTGCTTGCGGGCAAGTGTGTTACACGGTTAAACCAATTTACCAGCTAGCTACCCTAACCACCCGACACGGCATCTACGGCGATTGCGAGCATGCCTCACTGCATCCACGCCCACAAATCGTGTGCCATATATCCTGCAGGCAAGTTTGAAGAGATAGCAAAGATTGTTGGGACGTGAGACATTTGAGCAGCTGTTGCAGGGGCAATGGACACTTAATGGGCGAGCTCTACCTCTGCGGTGATTATAGAGTATATTTACATACACATTTATAGCTATACATATTTATATTTAAGACTCATTTCATGGCCTGTCTCGCACTTTTCACTCGCAAAAATTAAAAGCCTCCAGCTTTGGGTCGCGCACAAAAAGAAACGAGCAAAACTCACAACGAAAGTTGACGACAAAATGCTGACAAACTGCAACAGCGACGGCGACGGCGACGACGACTGCGACTGCGACAGTGACTGTGTGGAAACTGTTTGGCTGTTATCATAAATAAAGAGCGCCAAATGTCAAACGTTGTCCGGGTTATAATATCATAAACTAAATGCAAGTGGCGCAGAAATCAAACATGCAACATTTCGAGCATTCGAACAATTCACGATTTATTGGCCATGTTCATAATGTTGCGACTGGCAGTTGGAGCGGCTGGAGCGGGCCTGCACTTTTTAAACTGAATTGTTTCCGGGAACTGTTGCTCCAACACCAACAACAATGGCACACAACAGCAACAACAAAAACGAAGCGCTGAAAAGCTTGTAAAACATTTGTAGCAACTGCTGCTGCTGCTGTTGCTGTTGCTGTTGCTGTTGCTGCTGGCAGTTGCAGCCGCAGTTCGCAGTTCGATTCAATTGCGATGCCAAGGCGGCAGCTATTGCTACTGTGGACCACGTTCACCCAGCCAAAATGTTTTATTCATAAAGCAACAGCAACAGCCGCAGCAGCGACAAGATCATCGCCGTTTGTTGCTTTTGAGTGTCCGCTGGCTGCTCACTGCATCCAGTGGCAGCTCCTGTTCCTGTTGCTGCTGCTGCTGCTGTTGCAGACCCAGCCGTTGTCGGCCTATGCTAATTTTCAAGCAAACTTATCAGACGGCGCGCATCTTGCCCAGCCTTTTGGCTGTTTGTTAGATTGCCCCACATGACCAACTCACAAAGGGGTGCTAATCGCCAAATTTACAACTTGATGCTAACGCTCAAACAACATACAAACACATCTCATACTCATACACACATACCCACACACACACACAGAATACTTGAGCAAAACGCAAATGGTCCAGAAAACAAAACGACCGCAAAAAACTGTGGGCTTAGTATCTGCAACTGTTTTGCTAGACAAAACTATAAAAATCAACACAGCGCATAGAGCTACAATGATAGCTGCACACACACACACACACACATACACATACACTTCTATGTACATATATCTATGACAACACAACTCCCAAGCTGCCCTCGCTTCAAAGTTGCTGCCAACGACGACTTTCACTCGCCGCCCCGCTAAGCATGCTACGAAAAGCGTTACATTTGAAAAATGTACTTTTTTCACACTACCCCAACAGGCTCCCCCACCCCAGTCTACCACACTGCGGTGACAGTGACTGGCGCACAGTGGTGCAGAGTATGTGAAAAAACTTAACATATGATATAAATTATATAAATTGATGTCTAATGAAATATCTTGGAGTTTTCATTTGTCGTTCATATAAAGATGAACGAATCAACAAATAAAAATAATGTTAATAATAATAAAATTATAATAATAAAATTGATAATAATAATAATATAGCAATAATATAAAAATATTTTTTAAAATATTTGTATTATATAATTTAATATTTAGACAAAATTATAAATTATGCTAGTATAACGAAATATATATATGTATATGTATATAAATATATTTCATGGAGGTTCTTTGTGTTTTATTTTCTTTTATACAGGAACTTGGGTTTGAGCTATAAATATATATATTTATATTTCAGGCTATCATTCTTCAATAATGTATTAATTCATATTGTAAAAATGTATTTTGAATCAAATTGAAGTCATCATTTCATTAGATATACTTGCATAAATAGAAGTTGTTTTTTTTTATATTAAATGGGAAATGCAGCATAATAAAGTAAAAATAAAATAAAAAATTGTAATAAATACATATTACATATTACATTACATTACAATTACATATTTATTTATTTTTTTTTTATAAAACTTTTTTTTTTATATATGTACATATTTATTTATTTATTAATTCTTTAAATTTAATATATTTCATAATATATAAAACTTGTTTTCAAATCTAGCCATAATAATGTTTACCACTCTTGCACTACAGTGCCAGCTAGGTGTATGTGTGCATAGTATGGTGGTCTAGTGGTGTGCGTCAAAAGGGTATTTTTTACGGCCGCATTGTGTTAGTTAGAGAAGGCCCATAACACTTTGTTATGTGCGCTTGACAAAGTTGTGGCGGTCTAAAAGTGCTTAGTGCCTTAGTTTAAAGCGATTTTTACTCGGTTTTTCTATTCTTTTCTATGTACATTTATCTCCCTCTCTCGCTCTCGTTTGGGTGCATAAGAGATAAACGCACATAGCTGGCAATCGGAATTGGGTGCTAATATGGTCAAAGCGCTGCGCTCGACTGGCCGGGGCAGCTGGTGTGGGCTGAAGCGGAAGTGGCAGTCGCATTCTTTGGAGGTTTTTCTTTTTTCGTTCTTTTATTTTTAAAATTTAAAGATTTGCACATGCTGATAGGCACAATAAATAAATCTCGTATAAAGGAAACGGATAACGGATATTTGCGGAATTTAGAGACACGTGTGAGTGTGGGGGGGCGGGCGGATGAAACAAATGGCTTTAGCGGAAGGCATTTGGCGTACTCTGCATACATAGGGTGACTGCTGCGAGTCACATATGTTAGACGACCCCCAGCTACAAGCTGATAACTGGCCAAGAACTGAGCTGCTGGCTCAAAGAAAAGTGCCAAAATGCCAGGCGCGACAAGTTCAACACCTTTTGAGAAGGCGATGCGAGGCGAGGCGCGGCGAGGCGACACTATTGCGATCATGATCCACTCGGCCAGACGAGAAAAAAAAACAGCAATAAGAGGAGTATATATAGGCAGCAGCAGCAGTAATAGCAGCAGCAGGCCGTTTGGGCCTGGCTGAATGTCAACTTTATTAAAAGAAATTATAAATTGGTATGCCAGTCAGTTGGTCGGCACCGAGACGCGGCACCACTGGCAACCACTGGCAACCACTTCACAGGCACCGCGCGCAAAATTCCAGGCTCACACATCATTAAACGAGCAAGAAACTGAACAGAGAGGCAAACAGTCTGAAGTTTAAGTGGTTGGCCAGGCTTTCAGCCATTACAATTACTGACAAAAAGCATCAAGGTAATAATAAAAACAAAAGATATACCAGAGCGAGGGCAGCACCAACAGTTGCCAGCAATGCAAAAGAAGAACTAAGACAGGTAGCTGTAGCAATAAAAAATGAATAATTATAAAGGAAACTTAAACTAATATAAATAAAAATTGTTTTTAAAAAAAACTCACTAAAAGCATTTTTCTAATAGACCAAAGTCTCGATCCATTAGCCACAATGCGCCTTACCACCTTCGCTGCCAAAACTCTTTAGGAATTCTTCACTACAAAAACAAACAAAAAATCGCCAAGAATAACTTGAGGCAAAGAAGCCATCGCCTCGCATTGCTTAGCGCGCTGAGACAAAAGTCAAAGACAAAGCTCATGTCAAGACTTTTAGAATTATGATAGAGTTTTGATGTTGTCATAAAAAAATTTAATTGAAATACCAAAAATGGCAATGAATACCGCCAGACGGCCCAGATGAAGACGTCAATGTGGCTGCCGCTGCCTCGGGACTTTGACTTTTAATGTGTATATTTTTGGTAAGCATTAAGTATTTATTGCAGACAATGTCCGCCATGTATCACTCACTTGAGTGGAGCCTCCGCAGCTGCCCATGGGCCCCAGTCCCAGTTGCAAGTGCCCCAACTTCAAGCAAGATGTCAAAATGAGGCCACTTAGGCGCGACTTTTGGAAATCAACTCACGAATCGACAAAAAATAAAAAGAGTCAATGATGATGATGCCAATGATGATGATGATGATGACAACGACAACGACAACGACAGCAAGTAAGTTGTAGACCGCTTGCTGTGCAGAGACTCAGAGTCGGAGTCAGAGTCGGAGTCAGCGCGAGTGGTTAACTCTTTAAGGTGTCGCCAAGACAAACAAGTTGCAGATGCTGCAAGCGAACGAGAGGCTGAGCTGAATTTTTGGTCCAGTTCTCTGGCTACATTTCAATTACTTTGTGGGGCAGCCATTTAAATGAAAATGCCACACATTTCGCCCAGGCACAAGCCAAGCACAGCAGGTAGTTTCAGCTCCTGCTCCTGCTTCTGCGCCTGCTTCTGCTGCTGTTGCTGCTGCTGCTCCCCCCCACACTCACACATGTGACGACAGCAGAGGCCAGAGGTGCGTTGGTAAGTAATCATAATCTTAAGGTAATAACAGGCACATTACATGTCACATTAATAAGCGACGGGCTGGCGGGCTGAAGTTGTGGCGGGCCAAGCGTTTAAATTAATATCATAATTCATATTGCAATAATTTAGCATGTTAGCAACGCACATGCAAGTTGCCAGGACGCGCTCGTCCTTGCTTATTAATTTTATGTGACTTTATTTTTCTACATCTCTCCTGCAAGTATTTTTTCCGTTTTGCCAAGGGTGAGTGTGTGTGTGTGTGTGTGTGTGTGTGTTTGTGTGTATCCTGCGGTTTTTCCTCATGTGTGCAAAAAAGAAAGCCAGCGATGCTTGTACGTAATGAGAGTGCGACATAGGCAAACATTTACATTCAAGTCCTTTAAGCTTGATAAATGAGCGGGCCAGTTGAGCATGCGGGCAAACAGGCAGTGGTTGCCAACTGCCTAGCTAAATCGGCTCATGTGGCGTATGCTTAATTTTCTGCGGCTATCGATGCGGGCAAGAACAGCTATTAACTGTAGTTGCTGCTGAACTTCTTTGCTTGCATACAATATAATGGGTATTGTTTTGTATTTTTGACAAAGTCTTGGAATTAATATATATTTATATAATATTTATTTACATATATATTTTCATGTTGACTACATAAATTTCGTTATTGTAAAAATTAGAAATAAAATGTTTTTTCATGAATAATAATAAGACAAAAGCTGCAATAAAACTATATTAAAAAAAAAAAATATATAATAATAATAATATGATATAATATATAATATAATATAATATGAATACAATAAAATATATACAATAAAATATTTTTTAAGAGCTTTTCAGCACATGATTTAAAAGTATAGTAAAAAGAAATAAAAATATATAATTCCCAGCATTATTTTTCTAATTAATTATAATTTAATACTCTTTCATATATAAATAATAAATAAATAAAATAAAATATATAAATTGAAAATAAAGTAATCAATGTCACATAATATTATTATTTGCTGTCATTAAATTTTACATTATGTTAAATAAAGTAAAATATTAATATTTAAAGTACTATAAAGTAAATTTCTACAAACATGAAAATAAATTTATGGAGCCATAATATGATATATAAAATAATTACTTATTTATGCTGCTGGAGCCCCCTAAGCTCTATCACTTAACTAACCTCTTTGAATATTTTAAACAAATTTCTTGAACTTCCTTTCGTACTATTTCAAGC